GCGCTCCGTGGAAGGCGCCTTCTGGCCACACCGCTCGGGAAACAGTATACTACAAGATGGTTATACTGGATGTTCGCGTCGGACGCACGCCTCATTGGCGGAGGTGTAGCAACAGTGTGTCCTTGTGCGTCCCATGGTCGTCCTGGCCCCGAAGGCCACACCTCGGGATCGGGGCGAGGCTGAGGTCGGCTTGGCCGCCGCCCGGGCCCGAAGAGCCCACGGCCCACGGCTCCTCTGGGCCCCGGCCGCTCTCGTGTGAGAGGCCAGCGGCGGCGGGCACACGGCAGGCGAGGGGGGTGGAGATGTCGGAGAGGCCGGCGACAACACCCAGCTGCCTCGCAGGCCATGTTCCATCGAGGATCAAAGAGCCCGAGCCCTCCTGACACGGTGAAGACGTGGCCTCACTGAGGTCCCCGTCTTTGCATCGGGGACAGTGGATCTGGGCGGTTTGGTTCGATGCGTCTGCAGAACAGACCCCCCAAGTATCTAAGCTCATGGCCCGACTAAGTTAGGTCGCTTCCCACAGGTCTAGGGGCCCTTCTCATTTGATGCCCAGTAAATGTTCCCCCCCCTGCTTGCGCGGCTCCCCCCTGCGTGCGCGCAGCCCTGCAGCTTCCGCGCGGCAGACCGCCAGAGACCGCCCGCGGCCGCCGAGGCCTGGGCCGAGAGCTGGCTTCCCACTGGCGGGCTCGCGAGGACAGCTTCGATCCGCGCTTCGTGGTCTGAGCCGGAGAGTTGCCCCTCAGAGTCCTCCTCTGCTCCACTACCATCCGCCCGACTGGAGAGTCTCCAGTCGGGCGGGTGGTAGTGGAGCAGAGGAGGAAAAGGTACCCATACCTCTACACTTCGCCCGTTTTCCCCTTTTGGGGCCTCCTCTGGAGGCCCTCGTCGCCACTGTTGGATTCGCGTCGAAATTTTGGCCAGAGCGCACCCCAGGAGAGATCCGGGGAATAGCGGTATGGGTACCTTCTGGCCTCCCCAGTGGAGGGTGACCCAGATGGGGGGTGAAGAAAAGGGCCCTAGAGGGGCCCTTCAGGGCTCCTTTTGGAGCCAGCTGGTGCCCAAAAAGGGCCCGGAAGCCCTGAAGGGCTTTTTGACGGCCTTTTTCTTCACCTCCGATTTGGGTCCCCCTCAATTGTAGTACCCGCCCGATCCATGGGGGCCCGGCGCGAAGGCTCGCAGGCGATTTGTCCCCCACGATCCCCGAGTGCCGCCCGAAGTGCTTGGCCGCTCAGGGAGAGGGGGGGAACCCTGGGATACACCAAGAGGGGGCTGTCCAGACGCACTCCGTATCGAGGATGAACGCCCCCCTCGTGTACCCCAGGGTTGGGCCCCGAGTTTGTGGTCCAGTAGAAAATCTTCCAGAGCCTGGGATAGGTGTCGACATATCCCCTGTTACTACCGGTCCTGGAGATCCCTCCAAGCCACGGCTGGAATATGCTCGGAGTGCGCGCACCCCAGAGGAGGTCCAGGGAGTAGCAGTAGGGGTGCCTCGCACTTTTCCCACGGATGAATCAACAGGGGGCCCTCTGAGATCTGGTGCGATAGGCACCCCTGAGGTGGGCCAACAGCTCAGATGTTCGTTTGGGGGACTTCCTGGGGCCCACTTGACGGATATGTTCGACTCTAGCTCAAATAGCATTCGACTCCAGTCCGACTCTAGCTCGACTCTACTTCCGCTTAGGTTCGGTTCAAGTCGACGGGCGTTCGACGCAGCATCGACGCATTGGTGGAGCGAGTGGCTCCAGGAAGGTCTCCAGAGCGAGCACCTCAAACGGGGAGCGGCGGACCTGAAAGTCGTCCCCACCTGCCGATGGCCCCCTTTTGATTGCCTGCGTGGGTGGGCTGGCCAGTCGATCCGCTGAGCGGTGGGAAGGTTAGTAGCTCGGCTGGGTGTCTGGTTGGCAGGGTGGCTGGCTAATCTTGCTGGCTGGTCATCTGTTGTCTATTGGCCCATCTGTTGCTTGGGCATGCCGGCCCCTCCGCTATCCCGCTGCAGCGGCCGCCCCCCAGAGTTGGATTACCAGAAGCACGACGCTGCTTGGCACGACGGACTCCAGCAGCACGACGATGAGCGATACGATAATTAGGGACTCCAACGGCACGGCGATATGCGTACGACTGGGACTCCAATTGCACGATCCTCCGCAGCTGGCCCACCTCGCCAACTGCACGAGGGTGACCAACACGATGGACTCTTGCAGCAAGATCGGCGACACCTGCCGACATGGTCGACAGCACGAGATGGGCCAACTTGACGGACGTTAGCAGCACGACGCGTGACACCACCTGCAGCGCTCTCACCAGCAGCACAACCGCGCGTGCAGCGATGCTCTGGCCAAGTGCTTCTGAGGACCAGGAGTGGCGGGCGGTCGCCAGCAGCACGACCATGAGAGGCCCCGACTCCAGCTGTTTTCCCCTCTTCCGACTCCTAACTACTTCGACTCCGGCTCCCGCCACGACGCCAGTGCAGTGACGTGAACCTGGCTGGCGGCGGGGACCGATTGGCCGCCGACTCTCACTGCACGACCACGTTAAACCCACTTCCCACGACCACTGCCATTGGGACTTCCATCCCGCTATCACACCCCATCCCCGGCCTCCCAAGATCGCGGCCATGGAAGTGTGAAATCAACCCATGACCCCTCCCAGGCCGTTGAGCCGAGGGGCCTACTGGCCATACCGGTGCACCAGCACCCGCCGCCAGACGCCCAGCGGCCTCCATCCTGGCTGGGGACTACTACTTCGATATGTTCTTCTACCCGCCCTCCGACTTGTGATGCCTTCCTCTCTGATTCCTCAGTCCTCTGGCACTGTCTGTGGGGCGATCGAAATCTGGACGTGTTTCTATCATTTGCACGTCTACACTGGTATCCTCTATTACCCTTCAATCTTCCTTGTGTAATATTTCCGTCTGTGCTGGTTCTGTACACTTGGTTGTGTAGATTTGTCGGGGCATGGCACAACGTCATTGCACGCTCCCCCAAACCATGGATCCATCTACGGGTCCGCCTCATGGCAGTCAACCTGTGGGATGTGCCCGGTGGCCTGGCGCAGCCAGCTTGCTCCTCTTCCTCCTCGTCCTCCTCGTCATCCTGCCCCCCCCCCCTCCGTCTCATCTTCTCTTCCGTGCTGATTTGTAGGTTTCCCCATCTGGCGATAGGGGTGATTACAAGTCTTCACGCGTGCCCGCTTCCCCTGTCCTTACATGCGGGCTTTGCCTCGCCTATTGCAGGTCGTCCAGCGCGCTATTTCAGGGTTCAGTGCGATTTCTTCCTCTTTCCTCATCTCCCCCCTCGTCCGCGGCAGCCTACTCCATAGTCGCATCTCAAGCGTTGGTATCAGGTCATTGGGGTCTTGATGCGTGAAAAATGCCAGCTGGCTGGCTGGTTCGATGCATGGCTGGTTGGTGTTTTTCGCGGGCTCGGGAGATCGTGCTCTCAGGAGCGCGTCTCACTTGATGCATTGTCTCCGCCAGGGTCGTTAATCGTTTCGTGTGGGGCGTGGCTGCGTAGCTCTTTCGAGATATTGTCGTCTCGGCCGCCTCGTTGTTGTTTTTTTTTCGGAAAAGTGATCGTAGCAATGATAGCGCAGACCATTCGAATCTGTTACGATGGATCAACCCCATGAGAGTCGTAACATGGTCTTGTGCTACGGATCGTGGCCTCTGCGAGTGCGGGCCAAAGGCGTCTTGTGGGGAATCGTGGACTCGGGAACGCGGTCATTGTTTTGTACGAAGGGTCATGACTTCGGGAGCGCGGCCGCTTTTGCTCAAGAGGGAAAACAGGGACCGATGGCGCTTTTCGTGGTCCATGGAGCATGGGTCCACATATATCATTATCTTGGATCGTGGCCTTGGGAGCGGGGGCCTATAGCTTTTTACGCGGGATCGCGGGCCCGCATATTTGACGTGCCCCAGGGCACTTGCACCCCCTGAGAAGAGAGTGGTTCTTTTCGGGCCAAGGCGAGCCGCGTCAGACCTCGGAAAATGTAGAATCACCCCGCCACTCGGTCAATGACAAAGCTTGTGCTTTTGAGGAGGCCTCACGAATAAGGTCGGCAACAATCGCCGCTGCCATATTCCAACCCATTGAGTTTCTTATGAATGTTGCAGCGTTGAAAATTTGTTATTTCTTATTTGCGCTGATGGGGGCCATGCCGCTCAGCTGCTCAAGCCTCGTCTGCGCAAAGTGGTGGCCACCTCTGAGGGTGCCAGCGTACTTTGACCGAGGTGCCCATGCGCAAGTGTGCGTCCGGCCAAGGCTACGTGCGTGAGCATACGAAGGGCACGCACGCGAACACATCGAAGCCTGCGCAGAAAAAGAGCGCGCGTTAGGTCGTCTTGGCTCAGGCCCCGCTGTAGGTGTGCGCGCCGCCTCCAGCCGGCGAGCCGTGTTTGGCACGCCGGCGCGGGGGCCACAGCTAGGTCGACGAGATCGATGCACATCCGTTGTTCCAGCCCAGGGCCCATCCTCAGACCAGGAGCGGTGCATACGCCCTGGGCCAGGGATGGAAGGTGACACATCTGTGTAAGCATAATCTTTCGACGGTCCGCGCCGACCGTCGAACGTTCAAGTTTATGCAGTTTCTCGCTTAACTGAGAAAAACGCATCCGCACAGCTCCTGGCCCCAGGGTTGCCCTGACCAGGGGCGGGGCCGACTCTTGGCCCGGCCTGGTCCTGCCCACTTCTGCCGATCCGACGTGCCCACCAGTTTTTATTTGCCGAAGGTCGATGCCGGGGCCGCACGGCATTGGCCCGACCAGGTGCAGCGGATGTGCAAGTACCCAGCGATCCGATGGCGTGTTTTTTTCAATGCGGGGTCCCGGGAAGCCTCGACGCATTTCCCGGGGCCGGCGGCGCCGTTTTAGGACGGTCCCGGGGCCGGGCGAGGGCGCCTATCCAGAGGCCGAGAATTGCGAAAGACCTCCGCCGTGATCCTTTCGAGACGTGGGATCTCTGGGTATACAGATGGAGCTCGTCGTCGGAACGGCTCTGGCGATGGAGGCCCTGCAGGCCGCCCCGCAGCGGCCGACGCCGGCCTCCCGCGCGAGGCCCTCGCTATCGCCGGCCCACGCGATGTCCGATGCCCGCGCCCTGCGCCAGGCCTCCTCGCCCCTGCGGGGGGCCACGGCCCCGAGCCGCCCGGGCCCCGCGCGGCTGAGCTCCTCGCCGCAGGGGGCAGCGTACCCAGCGTCCCCTGGCGTCCCGTGGGGCGGCGGCGGACTTCGGAGGAGGAAGAGGCATCGACACTGAGATCCTGGCGATTCAACTCTTCGAGCGGGGCGTTTGCGCCCTGTTTCGGGCCCCGGGGCCCTCACAGATGGATCCTTCTCCAAAAGTGGCGCAGAAGATGGGGTCCGGGGATCCAGTCATGATTTTCCACAAAGTCTACATTTTTTCGAGACGCCAGATCTCAGTGGAGGCACCGATGCTGCTACCCTTCCCCCCATTTTCGCCTTCTGGTGGGCCTCCTCGGAGACCCTTGTCGCCACGGCCGGATTCTGGTGCGATGGCACCCCGGGAGAAGTCCTGGGAGCAGCGGTGCCGGCAAGGTTTGGGTTCCCCAGGACTGGCCGCGGTGGTGTGTCGGCCTGCGCAGCAGCCTGCGCCTCTGGCGGCGCCCGCTGTGGCACACCTGGCGCCGAATGCCGCAGCCAGCCCCGCCAGGGCGCACTCGCCGGTGAGGCTCGCCGCAGTACGAGCTTCTCAGCCTCCAACGCGCCAGGTTTCGCACGGGCGGTCTCCGGTGCGGCAGGTGGCGCGGGTAGCCAGCCAGGCTCACGTGGACAACAGCCGTCCGCCAGCGCAGCCTGCTGGCGGTGACCCTCAGCCTGCGCCCACGGCCGGTGCCGAGCGCTTCGTCTGGCCAGAGAGGCCGACAGTGCCGGCGTCCTGGTGCTCGGCGGCCGGGCTGACGCCGCTGCAGGCCTGCCGCGTGCGCCGCGCCGCGCCCAGCCAGCAGCTCGCCGCGGCGCCATTGCGCGGCGGCGTGGCAGGCCTTCCCGATGCCAGGGCGTCCACCGCTGGGGCGCTGGAGAAGCCGGGGCAGCCGAGCGGGTGTGCGGCGGCGGGCTGCGGGGGCTCGTGCGCTTCGACGTGCGCCGGAGGGAGCTCCGCCGAGACCGCCGCGGTGGCCCCAGCGGCGGCGCCCGAGGTGCGCGTGGCCGGGCCCGCGGCGGGGCGGGTGCCCCCGTGGGCGCCAGACTGCTCCGATGGCGAGCTCTTCGAGGAGGCGCGGCGCGTGCTGCGAGGTCTGGTGGCCCCGGAGCTCCTGGACCGGCTGACCCGGCGCGACATCGTGGCCCTCCTGGCCGCGTCGGCCAGCGAGCCAGCGGCCCAGTGCGAGGCGGGCGCGGAGCCCGAGCCAGCGCCAGGGCCAGACGCGGACTCCTTCGCCCCGCCGGACGGGGCGCCCGGGGACGATCCGGCGTCGCAGGATGCAAGGCAGCCCATCGAGAGCGACGGCGGTGCCTGCGGGAGGCACTGGGAGAGCTCGGCGGCGGCGGGCGACGGCATCAAGGCGTGCGTGCGAGTGCGGCCGATGACGGCCGAGGAGCGCTCAACGGGCTGGCTGGAGACTGCCTCCTGCAGGGCGCAGTGCGCGGAGGCGCTGCAGCTCGCCAACGAGCTCGGCCGGACCCGTGCCGAGGAGCTGGCTCTCGCCGCCCGCGCGGACGCGGACGGCCTGCGCGCTCTGGCCGCCCTGGGCGCCACGGAGGCGGGCGCGGCAGACGGGCAGCCGCCGCCGCCGCCGCTGGACTGCGAGCGCGCGCGGCGGCTGGCGCGCAACGAGGAGTCGAATACAGTCGAGCATCTGATAAAGAAACCTCCGCCCGAAAAGCTGGACCAGCGTTTCTGTAACCAATTTGTCGGAAAGCTGGCCCAGTTTTTTGAGCACGTTCGCCCCTCCATCCTCAACGACAGAAATTTGCCCATGCTTGCTTGAAGAAACTTATTGGGAGCTGGCCCTGAGGTTTTACATGCTCAGTTTCTTGATCACATTTCCGGATGTCGGGGATCGACTACAGAATTCATCTACCCCAGGATAGATCTGTGCGTCGAATCTACGAACAATGTGTGGAAGGATCCGTGTGCATCTGCGAGCACTTTCTTGCGTACTTGCCTCGTAGATTCGGCGCGGGACGCAGTTCTGGGGCACATCGATGCCGTAGTCGATCCCCCACTGGGAGGAGAGGCTGAGGCAGCTGGCCGAGGGGGCCCAGCGCCTGCTGCAGCAGGCGCGCGGCTTCGCCGCAGCCGACGAGCCTGCCGCAGGCGGCGGCGCGCCGAGGGGCGGCTGCGTGCCCAGGATTGGCCGGGCGGGCCTGGGGGCTCAAGGACAGATCGTTGTGGAGCGTTTCGGAGCTCGAAGGTCGGCGGGCGCATAAATTCAGCAGGCACCGACCGTCCCGGCATTCCTATAGGCCTACCTCGACATGCTCTTAAGACCAAGCAGTGTTCTAAGAACGAAAATTATCCCAGTGCGACCCTACCTAGGAGTTGGAGCATTTAGGAAAGCACACTACATCTACACCGGCAGTTACATGTACATCTACACCTGCATGTACATCAACATCAACATCAACAACGAGACTCACATCTACATCTACGTCTACGTCTACATCTACATCTACACCTACGCTCGGCTACGCTGTGTTGTGCTAGGCTATGCTATGCTATGCTATGATGCGCTATGCTATGATATGCTATGCTATGCTGCGCTATGACATGCTATGCTATGCTGCGCTATGCTATGCTATGCTAGGCTACGATATGCTATGATATGCTGCGCCATGCTATGATATGCTAGGCTATGCTATGATATGCTGCGCTATGCTATGCGAGGACATGTTATGCTAGGCGGTGCTATGATATGCTATGATGCGCTGTGCGATGCTATGCTATGCTATGCTATGCTATGCTATGCTGCGCTATGCTATGATCTGATATGATATGTTATGCTGAACTATGCTATGCGATGATATGTTTGGCTATGCTATGCTATGATATGCTGTGCTAATGCTGCGCTAAGCTAAGGTAAGTCCAGCTATGCTAGGCTAGGCTAAGCTAAGCCAAGCTAAGCTAAGCTAAGCTATGCTAAACGAAACTAAGCTAGCCTAAGATGATATAAGCTAAGCTAAGCTAAGCAAAGCTAAGCTACGCTAGGCAAAGCTAAGCTAAGCTAAGCTAAGCTAAGCTAAGCTAAGATGGGATAAGCTAAGCTAAGCTAAGCTAGGCTAAGCTTAGCTAAGCTAAGCTAAGCTGAGCTTAGCTAAGCTAAGCTAGGCTGGGTGAACCCAGGGGGCGCAACTGGGGGAACCGCGGGGCGGGGACTGGGGGAACCGCCCGGGGCGTTTTGCACTGCCCGGCCCCTTGAAGCAAACGAAGTAAGAGCACTCTAGGCAGAGCCTAGGTAGGGAACAATTATCCCAGTGCGACCCTACCTAGGAGTTGGAACCCCTAGGAAAGCAACATTAGTAGTAACAGTAACGCTAAGCTAAAGCTAAGCTAAAGCTAAGCTAAAGCTAAGCCACAGCTAAGATAAAGTTAAGCTAAAGCTAAGCTAAAGCTAAGCTAAAGCTAAGTTAAAGCTAAGCTAAAGCTGAGCAGCAGCTAAGCTAAAGCTAAGCTACAGCTAAGCTAACGCTAAGCTAAAGCTAAGCTAAAGCTAAGATAAAGCTAAGCTAAAGCTAAGCTAAAGCTAAGCTACAGCTAAGCTCAAGCTAAGCTAAAGCTAAGCTAAAGCTAAGCTAAAGCTAAGCTAAACGCTAAGCGAAAAGCTAAGCGAAACGCTAAGCTAAAGCTAAGCTACAGCTAAGCTAAAGCTAAGCTAAAGCTAAGCTAAAGCTAATGCTAAAGCTAAAGCTCCCAGGGGACTGGGGGGAACCGCTCCAAGGGGACTGGGGGAACCGCCCGGGGCGCTTTGCACTGCCCGGCACCTTTAAGCTAAGAGAGTAAGAACCCTTCTAGGCAGAGCCTAGGTAGGGAACCTTCTTAGAACATCAAGCCGATGAGTTCAAAAAAGACAGCCCCAGCCAGAATTATTTGGATAACATTTCGTGCGAACCACGAGAGGTTCTTAGAACATTCTTTGGTGGGCCTATAGCCCAGCCAGGACGCCTCGCCTTTGCTTGAGCAATAGGGGGCGATCACTGGTGGGGGCAGCGAGGGCTTCCGAAAAGGGGTCCTTCAGGGCCCTCAAGGTTGCCCTCTCGGGGCCTCGAAGGGGGGCCTCTAGGGCCCAACAAGGGCACCTTTCCTCCCCCCCCCCATGTATCGCCACCCGCTAACCCCCATTCAGCGTTGCCCAAGGAGGGCAGACAACTGCGTGAATATATTTTCTCGGAGGTCCGCGCTGATGTTTGGGATCAGAGTCAGGCCCCCCGTGGCGCGCTCCGCGCTCCAGGAAGGGGGGGTCAGCGCCGATCCAGGAAACCAGCGCGGACCTCGAGGAAGTTCTTCACGCTTTGCGTATCCCTGCCAGCCCACCCAGAAACGTTTCCCAGGCAGCTGACGGGAAAAGAGACGAAGAGACGCACATAGTGAAGCAAAGTGGGCAACCAGGCTGAACAGAGAGATCTTTGGGAGCAATGGGATAGCCTTGGAGGGCTCTTCGGGCCATCCCTGGGGCCCGCGGGGGGGCGATGGGAGAAGGAGGAGGAGGAGGCAATCCGCCTCTTGGGGCACTCGTGGGACGCTCTTGGGGCGCTCTTGGGCGCTGTTGTGGCCGTCTTGCGGCCGTCTTGGGGCCCCCTTGGAGCTCTCTTGGGGCCCTCTTGGGAGCCCTGGAAGGCCTCTTGAGGCCATCTTGGAGGCTATTGATCAAGAGGGTCTTCGATTTGCATCCCAGAAATCACCTCTTGGGGCCATCTTGGGGCGCTCTTGGGCCGCTCTTGGGCGCTCTTGGGGCCGTCTGGGGGTCCGCTTGGGCCCCTCTTGGGTCTTTCTTGGGTCTTCTTGGGGCCATCTTGATGCCGCAAAAACGCATCGGAAACGAAAAGGCGAGAGGGCACAAACCATTGTTTTTGTTGTATGTTTGAAGTGGTGTGGGCCTCTTGGGGTGTCCTGATGGGGGCTCCGAGAGCACTTGGAACCATTTTGTAGCCCTCGTCGGGCCTTTTGGAGGAATGTCGGAAGCTATCCTGAACCATCGTCGGCTATTTTGAGCCATCTTGGAGGCCACCTTGGGCTACTTTAGGCCCTCTTGGGCCATATTGGGCCGATTGGGCGCCCTGACACTTCGCGCGCCCCCCCCCAAAAAAAACAAAAAAACTCAGGCAGCGGGGTGGGGAGTTAAACCTCCAGAAGAGAAGAGGGTATTAGGAAGAGGGAAGACATGTCTTTAGACCACCTTATCCCGAAGGGCTGGTTGGATGATGCATGGTTGTGCAATTGTTTGGTTCTTCTATTAACGCTCTCAGTGCGTCCCGGATCGCTCTGAATTGGCCGCGGCTCCCGATTCATCTTCCAAAGCCGCTGGATCTCTGAGATCCTCGATCTGTCCTGGCCCGAGTTTGTCCCGGTCCTGGCGTCGTCTCAATCGGCCCTGCGCGTAAGGGTGGCCCTTCGCCGCAGCGACCTTGTGGTGCGGGGCCGCAGGGGCCCCCCAGCACGGGCTTGCGATGCACTGGATGTGCCCACTTCCCTCCGCGGCCCCCCACATGAGCGACGCAAAGAAACGGAGTCGTCTTCGCCGACATTGGCGCGTGAGCTGCCCGCGTAGTTTCGAGCGTAAGCGCCCTCGTCTCCAGTGTAGCGTGCCGCGCTGGCGGCCCGCGTAGGCTGCGGCGTAAGGTCGCCGTGCCATCTCGCGAAAGACCCGCTCTTGATCGTTGCTCGCATGTGCCGCGTACCAGGGGTCACTCTTGCCTCCAGGGCCCGGGGTCACTCTTGCGCGTATAGCTGACAGGAGGCAGTCTCCGGCGCGTGCCGCCGTGCCGCCCATCTGGTAGCGCGGGAGACGGCAGGCGCTGGCGGGGTCGAGGCCAAGGATGGCGTGGTGCGCCTGAGCCGTGCATGCGGCAGGTGCTGGCCGCGCGCGCACGGGGTGGCGCGGGGGGGGCGGGCTTTGCCAGAAGGCGGCGGATCTTCCGAGAATGCGGAGGGGCGTCTCGGAAGCCCTCCCCGCTTCCGAGGAACCCTCTTCGAAGCCTCCGAGCCCGACGAAGGAGGCTCCTGGCTTCCAAGAGGCCCTCTGCCTTCTTAGAAGGCCGCCCCCGCGCGCCCGCGCCACCCCCGTGGCCTTGTGCCTGCCTCCGCAGGTGGCAGAGGCTGTAGCTACTACAGTCGGACCGAGGTATCAGATCGAGGCCGACTCGGGGAGGGTACCCTAATGTTCTTCGTGTTTGTTGGATGTTAGTGTGCACCGTGTGCAGGATACCCTTGGATGTTATGTTTTTTGGCTGGCGGAGGGTCTCATGTTCTTGAGGGATGTTCTTCTGGCCTAGGTCCGACGGTGGTTGATGGAGTCTGGGCGCGAGCTCTGACTACGCTGCACGCCAAGCGGGCCGAGCGCCTTGTCGAGCCGAGACGGCCCCGCAGAGTTTTCCTGTTACGCCCCCGCGCAATTAGGCTATTGCAGAATACGAGCTGCTGGCGTGTCCGCCAGGACCTAAAGCATGTTTCTTTTCCGTGCCTCCGCGTTTCCCTCGGTCGAGTGTGTCGGTCTGGCCGCGTTCGCTTGTCGCTCCTTGCTCCCCTCCCCTTGGCGTCCTCTCCTCTCCTCTGTCTACTGCCTGCTCGCTCCCCACCACCTGCTACCCTGATTCTTGCCTTTTGGCGTCATAGAGGTCGTGTGCCCTCCTCCCCCTCCCCAGCTGAGAGCTGGAACTTTCGATTGCATCCTGGGAGGCCGTTTTTGGCCGCGGATTGTTTTGGATGACCCTGGGGACCCGTCGTGCTCCTCTTTCTTCTTCTCCCCTCCCTCCTCCCCAGACCTCCGACGTCTCGAGTCGTTCACATCCTGGGCCTCCGTACTCCTGGAACGGGCATGGTTTTGAGGCTTCGCCGGGGCCCTTCGCAATGCAGCTCGGCGGCCGCCGTATTCTCCTCCATCCTGCGCTGTGGCGCAGCTTCGCTGTGGCGAGGTACAGCGCTTGAGGCTGAGGGGGCATTCTGCTATGCACTGCCTGCAGTGAGGAGTGAACTTAGGAGCGCAAAACGGTTCAAGCACACTTTTCTGCCCTCGGGGACGCCTGCCC